CATGGTCACCTGGAAAGATGCGCTAAGAGCACTACACACCTTGCTGAGCAAACAGGAAGGGGAATTTCAAAATTCCCAGAGAATTTAAAGGGTGGGTCTAATGGTTGGTCACCCGAGGGCAGGGAAGTAGAGTTCAAAGTGATGACCAGAGTGGCCAGAACAGGCATTGTGGAACACTTCATGGAGGCCGATCAGAGCGCATTAATAGACCAGGGCGTCCACAGTGGCACCGCAGCGCTCCAGCCAGGGCGCAGCAAGCTTTATGCTTCTCATGGAGGTGAATTACCTGGGGCGCTCCAGCCGCAGAGTCCGGGCGCTCTACGTGCCTTGCCAGTGTGGACACCTCAGGAGTTAGGCCGCCCAGGACTGATTTAATGCGCTCCAACTCACAAGTGTAGCCATAGCCTTTGTGTTTGATCAGTTGTTTTAGAGGGAGCAAATAGTATTGAATAAAGTACATTTCTCTAGAGTAGACTTAACGAGATGAAACCCTTCATGGTCTGATTTTCAGATTGTACATTTTTAAGCTTGAAAGTATGTGGGTTTTTTCTGCGGCCCATCCATCAGGATTGTTCTTTTAAACTGTTATAAGGTTAGGTAATTTGTTTCTCACTTGAACCTGTCAATTTGTTTTAAAAAAAAAAGAGTAATATTTGAGTCATATATATTTGTACTGTATTACTGTACTGCCAAGGGATCCCAATCAAATTTGGGACCCTATTGTGCTGGGCACTGTATAAACATAAAATAAATGACATCCTATTTACTTTTAACTCCTCTTCCTACAGGTACTTGCATTCACTATTTATAGGTGGTCTTGGAACAATGTCCACAATAAGGAGTTTGAAACAGGGGTATTGTTTTATATTTGAGTACTTGCAATTCCATCTGCAGAGGGACAATTTCTAACCTACCTAGATCTTCAGTTCATTCTGAATCTCTAAATATTTTGATACTTGTACTCCTAAGTCACCTTTTTTTAATGTCTTAATGCTTGCTAATCATCCCGGTGACATTCTATCCTGTCAAGCATTATTTTGAGTGAAGCACTTAATTGTGACAAATTAGGGGTGAATTTGCTTATTTAAGTTATCATGTCGATCAATCTCTGTAAGCTCTCCTTGTTTTGCAGATCTTTCCATTTATGAAACTGCCTCCACCTTTCATGGGTCCTTTCAAACTCCTCTGTCTCTTAGTCCATCCTAGTGATCTAAATTTATGCAGTTCTATCTGGCATTTATTACTGTTCAATTTAAGGTTATTATCTTTGGCAAACTGCAGAACATTACATACTCTCATTGTGTTAATTATTTTCTTCCCAATAATCAGCAGATCATCAACTATTATTTCCACCCTTTCCAGATTCTGAAAGATTGAGGATATGCTGCTTTGCCTCTGCATGAGGTATATCAATCTAATCAAAAGTAGAGTTGAAGGTGAAAAGTTTTATATTTTCTGTTTCAAGTCAGGGCTGCCAAAAACTTTGGCTTGCAACCCAAACTGATACTAACTACTCTGGTGTTTTGAAGCTATGACATGACCTCCACAACTGTTTTCTCGCATTTGTTGGCCTTATTAAAATCTTTTGGACCTCCATCAATCCTTAACTTATTCAGTTTTACTTAGTAGGTCTTTAAGATAATTGACAATGGTCTCATCTTGTATATGGTTTAATGTAAAGTAACATTTTTGATTGGTTCAAATTATTTTAAACTTTTTTAAATAACTTTGTCTAGTATTTTGCAGTCCTTCATGATCCTATTGGAATTTATCGTATATTTCCAATAATTCTGTTAGATTTGCCACATGTAGGAGGGGGCAGGATTTCAATCTCTGATTTCTCTTCAATACCACGTGTTTTCAGGAAAGCATGGAACTATCTTCCAATTCTCAGTCATGTTATCTTCCAGAGTGACTGAGAGAAAAAGGTGACTACATTTACCCTTTTTTGCCAAATATTTAGTTACCTTTATTGTGTGGTGTCAGAAGTTATGACTGGTGCTGGTAAGCGGCTCATTTTTATTTCCTGGCCTCAATTACATGACATGAGTTAGACTTAAAAGATTATACCACAGTCACATGGCAGGGTAGCTATCCTACTATTAATGTTTTTTTTTTTAAATCCCTCCCCTAAGAAGTATCAGTTAAGTGATGACAGACCTAGCAAAACATATCCTGGCTTGAGAAAAGGAATGGCAATCTCTAGTTAAAAGCTATTGGTACTTTGACAAGAGACATAAAAATACACTGTGACATAGAACAAAGAATTGACTCAGGGACTGAGATAAAACCACAGCGAGGGAGATCAGTGAGTCAGGCTTCTTGCCATGGAATGCAAAGCACAATGAAGTGTGAAGGTCTCAGCTAAACCAGTGATGTATAAAAGCACTTTACCTTATAAGGCTTTGTATGCCATGTAGTGGGCAAAAGCAAATTAACTTGATGCCAAAAATGTGCTGTCTTTGGCTCCAAAGCACATTTAGAACCAGTTTTGGTCAAGTTAATTTGATGTACATTGTAAATCTGGAATTAAAAAAAAAATTCCCAACACTTACTGGCCACAGGACTAAGCATATTAGCCCTGGTGAAAACCTGTGCCACCATGCTCTTCTCCCAAATAAATCAGTTCTCCCATACCCGGTATCTCTTTCCAGAGTATCTTCTTTACCTCTGAATATGGCACCAGCTGCCTGCTCTGCCTCCCTCCTTTGAGTAGGCTGAGCTTTTCTTCATAGTCATAGGGAGGCCACAATTTCCCTTCCACCTAAATAGGTGCTCTCCTATCATTCTCTGCATTCTCCAGCTCCACACTGAGAAACAAACTGGGGCTGAGAAGGAGGTAGGAAGCAGAGAATTCCCCATACAGCCCACAGAGAGGACTCCACATGGCCATCTGCCTGCCCAGCAGCAGCTTAACTGCTGCTAGGAACGATTTCACTATACCAGAACCTCAGAGTTACGAACACTTCAGAATGGAGGTTGTTCGTAACTCTGAACAAAACGTTATGGTTGTTCTTTCAAACGTTTACAATTGAACACTGACTTAATACAGCTTTGAAGCTTCACTATGCAGAAGAAAAATGGTTAATTAACCATCTTAATTTAAATAAAACAAGCATAGAAACAGTTTCCGAAGCTTGTCAATTTTTTTAAACTTTCCCTTTATTTTTTAGTAGTGTACTGTATTTGCTTTTTTGTAATCTGTCTGCTGCTGAGTACTTCTGGTTCTAAATGAGATGTGTGGTTGATTGGTCAGTTCGTAACTCTGATGTTCCTAACTTTGAGGTTCTACTGTACTTTACCCTTTCCACAGTTTCTGTTCTGGAGTCCTCTTCTCCAGCTGCTCATAGTATTCCTAAACAACAGCAAAGTGAAAATGTGATATTATACTTGACTATTTCATTTCTACCCATAGGGTTCTAAATAGCAGCAGTGAAATTGACCATAGTCTTGTTGGTTTCACTGACGTTTAGTGGGAAAACTATAATTAGTGCTCCCTGTTTGTCACGGAGGTCGCAGAAGTCACGGATTCCATGACTTTCCGCGACTTCCGTGACTTCTGCAGCAGCCAGTGTGGCTGACCCTAGGACCACCCAATCAGCTGGCTCCAGGGTCAGCTGCTCAGGTGGCCCTGGGGACAGCCACACCAGCTGCTGCTGGAGTGGCTCTGCAGCCAGCAGCACCGATCGCCCGAGCAGCTGGCCCCGGGGTCCACCAGAGCAGCGGCCGTTGCGGCTGGTCCCAGTGGTTCCTGGCAATGGTACCCAGGGTGGCTGGAGCAGCCACAGCTTCAGCAGCTCCCAGTGCGCCCCCCAGCTGCTGCTGCTCCGGGGGCCTGAGGCAGCTGGTGCCTCAAGCAGCTGGTGCCGCTGGGCCGGCTCCGTCCCTCCCTCCACAGCAGCAGCCCACTGCAGCAGCGGCTGCCCCAAGATTTAGTTGGGTATTTTTTTAGTAAAAGTCATGGACAGATCATGCATGAATTTCTGTTTATTGCTCGGGACCTGCCCATGACTTTTATTAAAAATATGCATGACTAAATCATAGCCTTAGCTATAAGCAGCAACAGAGCCACTGAAGCTGTCTGTCTATACACACAACACAACATTGCTTCTATTCACATTTGGAAGGTCATCTTTGCAACCAGAAAGGCTAGAAATTTAGACCTTTTCAATCCTTTACAGGGGATGTTTCCTACTTGCCACTGCCAAATGGGCCGGAGACTTTTTCAATCACTTTGAAAACACAATCCATTTTTCAGGGACATCACTGGAAGGCTTCAACAACACTAAACTCCTACCACTATGGCACAAATCCTCACCCAAATCATACAGTGCTCAGGACAATAGACCAAAACAATAGCAAATCAAAGGACAAATCAAAACTAGCAAGCTTGACTGCTACAGAGCCACCACACTAGGATCCGGTCTTAACTTGTAAGGTGTTGAAGACCGTTTTTCCTGCTCTACCCAGGAAGTTTCATCTAAATGTAGCTGAACGGGTGCTGACACCTGCTGCCAGCTACAAGTATTTTTTCCTACTCCAGGCCAGGCCTAGCTGACTTCCTTAGTCGCACAATGAAACGTGCAATGCTAGCAGACTCTCCAGAACAAAATCTGCATGTGTAACTGGAGTTGGTAACAGACACCCAAACTGCAGTGAACAGAGAAACGGCTCTGCCATCAATGTGACACAAGAGAGATTGACAGAGAGAGAATATCCCAAACCCAAGGGAATGAGAGCCTGGTCATGAATAATACAGATGCTCAAGGAGGATGCCTCGAAAGCTAGCGGGCAGGCGCGTGAAAGCAGAGCCTGGCGCGAGGCGTGGAGCTGGGGGGTGGGTGCCAGCTCTGGGGTACCAGGCGGATGCTGCTGGGGGCAGAGGCGCGCGGGGCGGGTTGTCGGTTGGGGGCACGCGCAGGAGATGCCTGGGTGAGGGGCCGGGGCAGGATGTCCCGCCTCCCCGGGAGGGCGGTGGCGCGGGTCGCGCGGCTCCTCCCCGCTGGCTGGGCGGGCTCAGGCGCATCCGGCCCGGCCTCGCCTCTCTGCTGCTGCCGGTGGCTCACGCACCGAGGCGGTTGCTGCTGCTGCTCCTGGCCCCCCAGAAACCCGCCGCCGCCTGCCCCAGACGCCGGGCGCTGCCGAGCCGGCTGCCCGCGGTGTCCGCCCGTGGGGCTGCGGCAGGGAGGGGCTGAGAGGCCGGGCCGGGCGGAGAGATGAACACGGTGTTGTCCCGGGCCAACTCGCTCTTCGCCTTCTCGCTGAGCGTCATGGCGGCGCTGACCTTCGGCTGCTTCATCACCACCGCCTTCAAGGAGCGCAGCGTGCCCGTCCGCATCGCCGTCTCTCGGGTCATGCTGTGAGTGCGGCCCCGGGGCCCTGCCCCTCCGTGCCCGCCCCGAGCCAAACTCTGCCTGCGGGGAGGGGGAGCAGCCGGCGCCCCCTGCCCGGGGGGGTGGACCGCACCCAGCACCTGTAAACGAGGGGGCTGTGGCATGGGAATCTAGGGACGCTGCCTGTCCTGATAGTTTAGGGGGACGTTAAACATCTTTTGCCACATCAGTGCCCCCCGCAACTCCCCCCGTCTCCTCTCTGTAGCTTGGGCCTAGAATAAGTACAGTCAGTGTCTGCCTCTGCAGTTTCCTTCCGGCTCTCTCACTTCCCCCTGTCTGGGCCAATGAGGGAACCCCACGACAGTCAACTCTGCTGTACTGGTGTCCTTTCTCCTCCTCTCTGCCAGTTCTCTGTGTGAAGGCTGTTGCAGTGCATAAATTGCACACAGTCACACACACCAAGACTCCTGCTTTATATGAAGGCAAGACATGTTGACAAGGGGGAATATTCTCTTTTGATTTCAAATTCCTTGATTGGCTTCTGTCAGACTTAATGCTAGACCTTTTCCAACATGCCACCGTCCCTTCTTTAATCGCTGTCTTTTAAAAAGTGTGATGACAAACTTTAAATGTCTCTAAATGTCTTTCATCTCTGTAAGCCACATTTTTTAAAACTGAACTAGTAACCCAGTCGGAATGGAATTGGAGCAGCATAATGAGGATCTCTCTAGTTGCGTCTTTTTTCAATGGTTTCTTTTGGCCAAACCCCAGTTTAATGTGTGGATTCTTCCTGTAACAGATTGACAGTGACTCTATGCACCTGTCATGTAGGTGCATATACTGTGAAGATATGTTAGTTTGTGTGAAGGGAAGGAACAGTCTGTAGTCAATCTTCAAAACAAAACTTTGGGCTTTCTTAGCTTCTTTCTTTTTGAAGTAAGGAAGGCACTAATCAATGTAGCAAACTTAATTTTTTGTTTTTAAAGCTCAGGGGCCTGTTTTTTTTGTTTTTATGCATGGAGATTTGAATAAGCTCAGTTTCAATCTGGAGCTAATCGTAATGTCAAGTTCAACGTTCCTGAAGTTCTGGTGGTGAGGTTTATCCATTGTCAACCAAATTATGTCATGATTAACTGCATGATGACTTAATATTGTGGAGAGAGCATAAACTTTGAACCAATGTAGTATTTTTTTGTTTGAGGATTTTACATGCCAAGGGAGAACTTTACAATGTGTGTGTGCAGCACAAATATGAAATCAGGGTTAACAGGTGGCTAATGTAGATGGGCTAAGGGGCTCTTTGTGATGTAAAATCAGTTGGTATGACGGAAAATAGTAGTACAACCAGAATGACTGACTTTGCTGCTGCAGTTGTTCAAATTGGCATTGATTAGTTGGTAATGGCTACATATCCTTGACTAAAATCAAATGAAGTACAGTTGAGCTGCCCATGTCTCTGTAGGCAGGAAAAAGTCCATAAATTATTACTCTTATTTATCATTTGAATTCTAATAGTGCCTAAATGCACCAATCAGGATAAGGGCTCCATTGTGCTAGGAAGTGTACAAACAGTAAAACAATGTTCTTGTCCTAAAGTGCTTACCATCTGATTAAGACAAGGTATAATAAATGGGTGTATCAATCAATCAAAATGGTGGAAAGTGTACAACGGAAACCAATAAGAATGTTCATTGACATAAAACAAATAATGCAAACTGTGCTAATTTTGTGTTCTTGCTTTTTTTTTTTTTTTTTAGAAAAAATGTGGAAGACTTCACTGGGCCTAGAGAACGAAGTGATCTAGGATTTGTTACATTTGATGTTACTGCAGATATCCTTTATAAAAACACTAATGCTTAAAATATAAACTCTGCTATATTGTTGACACCACTTCCGTAATGGTTATGATTGTAATGTATGAAACCAGTCCTCAAATATTTAAACCAGAAGACCTTAAGAAAGTAAAAAGTTTGAGGAGAACCACCAATATCTCTGGAAAGCAGTGTTTTAAAGTAAATGGAATTAGAGAATGTATTGGCTGAGGAGAGAAATACAGTAGAACCTCAGAGTTACAAACATTTCAGAGTTACAAATAATCCGAGGTGTTCGTAACTCTGAAACGTTCATAACTTTGAACAAAATGTTATGGTTGTTCTTTCAAAAGTTTACAACTGAACATTGACTCAATACAGCTTTGAAACTTTACTATGCAGAAGAAAAATGCTGCTTTCCTTTTTTTATTTAAAGTAGTTTATGTTTAACAGTATTGTACTGTATTTGATTTTTTTTTTTTTTTTTTTTTTTGTCTCTGCTGCTGCCTGATTGTGTACTTCTGGTTCCAAATGAGGTGTGTGATTGACAGGTCAGTTCATAACTCTGGTGTTCGTAACTCTGAGGTTCTACTGTAGTTCTTATCGGATGAAGAGCTTACCAAGACAGTTTATGGCAACCTCATCAGCAAAGCGCAGAGTCCTCCAGCCACCATTAAATCTGGTCAGAGTGCAGTCATCAGTAATATGTGATGTGTTTGGCCACAGACGCGTTTAGGATTTTCTGTTGGTCCCAGGTGTGAAGGCTGGCTGCCCATTTACCCTGGCCTGTTTGAAATCAGGCCAGAAGGCCCATGAGCAGCGTGACAAATAAAGCTGGGTACACACATGGTTGGGTCAAGAGACTGGTATCTGACATCAACTGCAGCCCATTCTTCACACCGCATCAACATCGCAGAGAAATCTGGTCAGGACAGATAGGCCCACAACGATTGCCTCAATGACAAGCATGCTCGTGGGTGGTTGAAGTCTTCTGTATATAGTGGTAGGCTCAGGATTAGCTCTGTCATTCTCAATCATTCTTGCTGTAGCATCCTCACGACAAATATTGGAGGAATGATATTGCTTAACATGGAGAGCCACGGTATGGGTGTAGGTCGGTAAAGAGAGAATTAGTTAATCATAGGAATTGCTTATGTAATGTATATTTTATGAATACTTAAAGATCTATGACATGGGTTTCAAATTCATTCTGTTAGGAAAGCCTGGATTATAAAGTTAATGACCTATAATATGGATGTCAGTGGGAGTATTTTTGTTAAAAGATTGAGGGCAGACATGGTCCTTTATTTACTAAAATATTAAATATCAGTTGCATTTATCATCACTCACTGGAAATAATTTATTGAGCAGCATACACAATTATATCAAAACTTCTGTCCTCTGTTTTTCTCCCCATCTTACTTTCTCCCCTTTCTCTCTATCTTTGATTGCCTGTCTCTTGTTTTTGCGTTTCTTTTATTTTCCTCTTCGCTTTCTTAATGTTTTCTACTCTGGCTCCTCCTTTCTCTCCCCTTCTGGCTCCTTATCCCACTCTCTTTTGCCCAGCCAATCCCAGTTCTCCCTCTGTGCCTCAGCTCCTTGCAAGAGCTGTCTCCCCTCTACCTCACCCCTAGTCCCAGTCTCTTCTGTGACTTCTGCAGAGGCCAGTGTAGCTGGCTCTGGGGCTGCCTGAGCAGCTGAGGCAGCCTCGGGGCCAGTCGCACCGGCCGCTGCTGGGGCAGTCTGGGCCACTCTTCCACCCCCAGGAGCAGAAGGAGACTTTTGGGTGGGGGGCTGGGTGTTGGGGCACAGGAGGGGGTGAGGGCTCTGGGTGGCGCTTACTTTGGGGGTGCTCCCCGGAAGCGGCAACACGTCCCTCTCTCAGCTCCTACCTCCACGTGCTGCCTCCTCCCACAAGCACTGCCCTTGCAGCTCCCATTGGCCGTGGTTCCCAGCCAGTGGATTTTTGTTTACTGTCTGTGACCTGTCCATGACTTTTACTAAAAATACCAGTGACTAAAACGTAGTCTTACTCTTAGACATGTACAAAAAACTATTTCTCATGCTTTTAAAGAGATACTGATTACCTTTAATTTTTTTCATATTGACTAAAAATAGAACACCCTTTAAGTAGTATGCCCTGGAGAGCAGATAACATCAGCTATGTTGACATGTAGGAAAATATCTTAAATGTTATAATTATATTGTACTTAGATTATGAGATGATCTATGTTCTACTTTTTGGTAGAAATATCATTTAAAAATAAAGTTGGTATACCATTTTCCTTAACTTGCTCACATCTGCAAACTATATTTGATTGGAATGTTAAACAGTTATTTCTGTATTTATCTGCAGAATATTCAACAAAAAACAATGTAAGTATGAAATAGAAAATTTAAACAATTAAAATTATTTGGTTTAGCTGCTATTTAACATGCTGTAATCCATCCTAGGAAAGATTATGGTACAAAAATTTCATACTACTTTGACTTATTCCTGCAATCTTTGACTTTTGCTTTTGCTGATATTTAATAGTAAGAATTCCAAATGTTACGTCTTTTGACTTTCTGAAATAGTGACATAGCTAAAATGCTATACAACTTTGTCACTTAAAACTGCTGTTCTCAACTGTTTCAACTGGTACAGCTATTCTACCACTGTAGAAAGGTCAGAATTTTCGTAAAATGATTTTTAAAATTAATTCTCAAGACTACGTCACCACCTAATCTGCTTTTAATGACCATTTAAATAAAGTAATATTCCATCTATGCTGGTAGCACAACTGCACTTGATGAATCAGTTTTTAGAATTCTCTGTTTCATTAGTTGGGCTTTAAGAGTCCATTATCTTGTTTTATATTTCATAAGTTCAGTTTATAAACAGCCAGCTCTTATCAATTGGTACATTATAATGGTATATTTTAGTCCCTTGTTCAAATTGTATCAGAAGACACCAGACAAAATTCTGAGTACCCCAATATGGCAGATCATCATTGCTGAGTAAGTAGTTCAGAAGAGATGCATAAAACCTCTTATGAATTCAGGACACCTTACTGAGGTGCAGTTATTCTTTTGGAATTATACTTACAAATCTGAATACAGTAATCTTTCATAAAAAAAACACTGAAAATTTTGAACAAAATGATAGGATTTGATTTCAGTACAACTCAAGTCTTTCATTCTTGAGACAATGTCTAAATACAAGTTATATAGTTTAAAATCACTTTTACAGTTGTAATTACAATTAAAAACTAACATCCTTGACCCATCATACTTTTTACTGGTATGTCTTTAAAATCTGCTATCCTTAAAATAAGGTTCTGTCAGATCTGTTATCTCTACCATATTTAAATATTTTGGTGGTAAACCTTTGTTCTTGTGAGACATAGTTCTGTAACACTTGCAATCCGTAAAACAAAGTTTATGCTCTGCAATTTCAGTTTCTTGAATCAGTAATACTTTGTAATTTCCAGTGATCAGATATACTTCATTGTGTTAACTCAGTGATTAATTTTAATTGTAGGCCCTGAACCAGGTTGTCCTTTGGGACAAGATCGTTTTGAGAGGAGATAGTCCAAAGCTGTTACTAAAAGACATGAAATCAAAATACTTTTTCTTTGATGATGGAAATGGTCTCAAGTGAGTAAATTACATTTCTTTATAGTGTAGCTGTTCTGTACTCTGGATATTTGTGTCTTGCTGAGGTAGGAGTGGGAGAGAGGTAAGTAAAGGGGAATATGAATATTTAACAGCTCATTACATTCTTTTAAATCTTATAATTGTTTCAAGACTATTACATCTTCAGAAAGCAGCTGATGAGATGTGCTATGTGGTAGAGATCCAGACCTCCACGGTCTACCCCCCAGTTCAGTGGGCTGAAAAGCAAGTGGCTGCCAGAAGCAGTTGGCTGCCAGGTTTCACCCTGTGCTTGCAGAGCTAGAGTCATGTCCTGCAAGGTGTGGAGAACCCTCAACTACTTTGCAGGAGAGTTATCCGGACTCTAGGTCATATTCCATGCAGTAGCTTTGTGCAAATATTGTAAATGAATGCAAACTGTAAATTTAAAATGCCCATCATTTTTGGCTCACAGAAAAGTATTTATATTCAAGGTAACTTACGTCTTTATAAGTTGAGTATTTCTTCTGATGATCTGTTTTGATTTTACAGGGGAAACAGAAATGTCACTTTGACTCTCTCCTGGAACGTTGTACCAAATGCTGGCATTCTACCTCTTGTGACAGGATCAGGACATGTATCTGTTCCGTTCCCAGATACTTATGAAACAGCAAAAAGTTATTAAATTATTATACTGAATCCTAAGCAACATATTTTTATACTTGTATATTATGAATAAATTTTATCACTTTCTCCTCCTATCCCCCGCAGCTCTCCAGTCAAAGGTACTTGTTTTCTTTGGCTCTAACTGAGCAGGAAAAAAAACAGCTGAAATTTAGACTTTTTTTTTTATTATTATTTTAAATAAAACATTGATGCTGAAACTTACAGGAAACGTAAACTGATGGTTTAAAATTTTTGAAAAATTAACTTTTTTTTGTTGGCCATGTGGGTAGAAAAATATGTTTCTTATAAATAAACATGTAAAACCAGAACATAGTCTGATTATTTTAAAATTTATTATCAAAGTGTTTATGTAATCTATCTAAAGCGCAATGCACAAATTTCAGTGTTGTAGTCAAAAATGTAGGAGTACTTGCAGGTTCATAGGCACTGTGGCTATTGTATTGTATTCTTCAGCTGCTGCTAAATAAGTGAGTTTAGAATGCTGCATTAAGGTAGATTGTTTCCTTTCTAGTAGCATCAAAAGCCACTCAAAATTGTTGTTCATCATTATCCATGAGCCATCAATCAGGAGTATTTTCGTACTATTCCAGCTCAAATTTGATGTTGGTTGAACAGAACTCCTTATTTGAAAGATTTATGTAATATTGATTTAACAAGAATGTGCCACTGATTTAACAAGAGTATGTGTTTTGTGTTTAAAAAAACCACACAAATCTTTTAAGAGCTGTTTACAACACAGATATCAGTAGAAATCATAAGCAGGATAAAACAGTGGAAAAATACCTCTAGCATATAAATTGGCAATTTTTTTGCTTATTTGGAAAAACTTAATATTAACCAAGTGTAAATTTTTCTCACACTTGTACAAATAAATCATTTTGGGTTAAAGTCAGAAGATAATCTCAAAGCATTTAGGATGTGTTGTGCAATATATATAATAAAAATGTTCTTTTTTTAAAAAAAGGTATGAGCAAGAGTAATCCAAAATAAAAAAGTACGTACAAAATGTATGATTTGCTTGTAAAATATTTGGACTTCTTGACTTTCAGTATTATAGACAAGTAAAATTTAAAATATAGTAAAATTCTGAAAATAACAAAAATTAGACTTTCATAGAAATAAATTAAAAAGATTGGGACTACTTAGCAAAGAGACAAATAGGTTGTAGAATAGTATACAAAATGAGTTGTGTACAGAAGGTAAAGTGGCCACTGTCCTTCACTCTTTCACAGTACAAGCACAAGGAGACATTCAGTGAAATTGGAAAGCTACAAATTAAAAACCTGATCAAAGGAAATATTATCTTGTACAATTCATAGTAAGTCTGTGAAGTTCATTACCCCAAGAGCTGAGGTCAATAGCAGAATTTAAAAAAGGATTAAACATTTATATAGATATAAAATCATAGTCAGTTTTACTAGATAAAATAAAATAATATAAAACTGCATGGGATACTTGGGTTCAGCAAGGAATATCCTTTTTTGGGCAGATTATTCCATAATTGTCCACTGTGAAATATATTTCTCCGTTCCCTAAAGTATCAGCAGTAATTATCAAAGACAGGACAGTAGATTGGCCATTGATCAGATCCTCTATGATAAACCTACGTTGTAAGTGAGTTGACTGCAACTTTTTTTTAAAAAGAAAAGGCTTTCAAACAGTTTGCATAGGGCCACCTTTTCCTCCCTGCATCCTGTTCCTTATACGGAGGGATAACAGCATAGCCTGCCACCCACATACCCTTAGGATATGCAGAAAATTCTTGCTCTAATTCTGTGAATCCTAGGTCATCCATGTGGAGTGGCAATAGGGTGACCAGGTGTTCTGATTTATTGTACGGACAATCCTGATATTCAGGGCACTGTCTTATATAGGCACCTATTGCCTCCCCATCCCCAGTCCTGATTTTTCATACTTGCTATCTGGTCGCTCTAAATGGCAACTTAGTGTCTGCGCTGTTACTGGCTTTTCCTGTTGTGTGGCTCCTTCCCCTTGTGAGAAGGGTAGAAAGTGGATCATACCTCCATGCATACAATTAATAGCATTATTTAAAAGGGCACTGGACTATGTGATAAAAGAAATCTGCATAAGCATCTACATAGGCCAAGATTTTTAAAAGTGCCTTGATTTTTGGATTCCTCCTTTTTGTGTGTTCAACTTGTGACACTTTAAAGAGCCCTGATTTTTCAGAGGGTGGGTGCTCAGCACTTTCCATTTCCAAACATCAGGCCTTTGTAAGATATCTCAGGTTGGGTACATACACAATTGTTGCTCTTGAAAAGCTTGACCATACAGTGTAAAGCAGCTGATCTGTAGTTCTGCGCTCAAATATACAATATATCTTCGTATTCACTTGGTTTTTTGGAGGGATTGTTAGTGGGGTTCTGCCAACCTGATTTCTGTACACTTAATGTTTTTGCTCTTGTCTGCTTTGCTGCAGAGAGAAACATCCCACAGTTTGGGTCGCTAAAAAGTTTTGTACTGTGAGCATTTTAAAAAATGCATTTTAATAAACTGTTTTAACAGTATTCCTAAGTATAAAGAATCTTACCTTGTTGATACAGAATCTTGTAATTGCTAAAATTGATAGATGTTAATGAAGTTAAAGCAATGTGTAAAAGTTTCAATTATGTTGTCTCAATTATATGAAAATATTTTGCCCTTTTTTGGTGGTAAAGGAATATTCACTTGGTCTCTGCTTCTGCCATTTGTTAACTAAGATTAACGTTTACACATCTGAACAAAAAAATCAAATTGATAAACATGTCTATTCTCCTGGCTTTCCTCAAGGATAAACTGTCCTTTCTATGTATCTGAGCTTCTTTCCTAAAATGGCTTCAGAATTTCAACTTAAACAGGAAGCTTCCCATATTTCAGGTTCCCAAAAAGAGGATGCTGCGGGAAAGTGAATTGGAGAGGGAGGGCAGTGTCGATCCCTGTCACAGCACAGTGGTAGTCAGCTGGCGGAAGCCCAGAATGCAGCAACAGCCATCAGTCAGCCACTCCCTGTTGGACCCCCTTCCCAGAGCTGGGGGCTGGGTGGGTGGGATCTGGCAGCTGTGGCTGCAGGGGAATGGACCATTCGGGAAGCAGACCAAGTGGAGCTGTTTTGGAGCTGCAGCATCTGCTCTGCAAAAATCCTGGACATTGGTTGTTTGAAAAATCTGCCAGGATGAGGCAGAGGCTCAAAAAAGAGGCAATGTCCTGGAAAACCAGGATGTATGGTAACCCTATAAAAGAGGGATGCTTCTCTCAGAAGGGACAGACAACCATGATGTGCAAGAGGACCAAGCCAAGAAGGCAGGAAGGACTGCCTGGTCTAAGAATGCTGACCAATGTCAGGACTCCCAGGAGGGGAGAGATTGGAGCAGAGGGGTTGCTTTACAGGTTTCTATTGATTTTCATAGAACTGTAACTCTATTGCTATTAGACTGTGATTGTGGTTAAACATTTCTTTGCTAAGCCTGCGTTCCTTGTTTTCCTGCTATGTTATCCCTGAAGAGTTTAATCAAGGTACCAGAGCCCCTACAGCCAGGTCAGCTCTGCAGGAACATGCCTAAGCAATTGGGGCCTCTGGAAGGCTGAGGCACTTTTTGCAGGGTGTAAGGTGGCTGTACAGTGGTAGTCGGCTGGTGGAAGCCCAGAATGCAGCAACAGCCATCAGTCAACAACTTCAGGGTCCCACTGCCCAGGAAGGAGGTCAGACACTGGGCCTGCACCTGCATGTGCCTCAGAGACCCTGAGCTACCTACGGTGATCAGTCACTACCCACACATGGGGATTTAGGAGAACATGGGGCCCAGGATTTGGGGCTGTTTGCAATAGACTGGTGTATGCCCAGAGGTAGGACTGGACCAGGTTGCAACACCATCTATAACACTTTCCACTGATGTGCTTATAACCATCAGTAATGCAAACAACTCACAGCTATAACATTGAATAATCATTTATGAACCTTTTATAAATAAAATCCATTTTTGAATAATTAGGCAATAAGTTGGTAACTAAACACTTCCACAATTAAATTCTTACACTAGTGTCATTGCATTGTAAATAAGCCCTTCTCTTCCTCTCATTTTATGCAGTGCAAATGTGTTCTCTATTCTCCAGCTGCATGGCACTTTTCAGAAAGGTTGGCGTAGTCAATGTTTATTACAAAAATAGAATACATTTTTAAAAAGGGGCTACATGCAAAAGAGAAAAATAAACCGTAAACTCTTGTCAGTGGCAATTCTTGCTCATGATTGTACCTGCTTTCTGTAGTAGTGAAACTTGCACTAAATCTGGAGCTTGCTGTCTCCTTTATGGATAAATTATTTCCCAGAATTCCTGCTTACAGTTTATTTTCCATGGTTTGGTGTTCAACTGCCAACCAACTACATTTGTTAGGATGCCTTTGATAGAACCTCCCTCAATCAGGTTGAAAGTTGCTCATTAAAGCCTTTGTGTGAAGTGCTTTTACTAAAAAGGAAAAGAGCTGCTATCAAACAAATGCACACAAACATAACTTACAAAAAAAATTGGATATTCCAGTCTGCTAATAAAGATGATAAATAATATCCATAGAATATGAAGAAAAGATGTTAACTCTAGAAGTTTTGCCCAGTGTAAGAAGATCCTGGAATTTCTCTAAGGAAAGCACCATATCCTTAGGGGAAGCGGACTGAAGAGCCTTAAGAGAAGAGAGAGAGAGAGCGCCAATTTGTTTTCGCAATCATGCTAAAGTACATGGCATGGAGAGTTTGGTTTCACTCTCACTGCAAGTGCGGGATACGTTTAGGAGAAGGACACTTCTCACTCATGTTTAGAGTGGCATGTTCATAGCTCCTCCACTGCAGGGTAGAGTACAGTATTAGGTCATCTACTTGTTTCTTATCTCTCAGGGTCAAGATTTCATAGTTATTGTGACTAAAGCATATTAAAAATGGAAAGTTCTATATGAAGTCAGGTGTTTTTTGCAGTATTATGAAATAACCATTTATAAAAAAATAATTCAGGGGAACACATCTAGTCCTCCCACCTCTACTGATGCATGAAAAAGTAAGCATCAAGCATATCAACATATGACTAGATCCCAACACGTATAACTTTCTTTAAGTTTTAATCTGCTCCTTTAGGCACTGATGTTATACATAAAGATACTTTCTGTGGTATACTTAACACTGCACAAGCACTTTGAATACTTGTTTTCAAATAAATTTGATGCAAGAAACTGCTGATGTATTTCATATAATTTTTATGAAGAATTGGAAGATACATACACTCTTGTGTTGGAGCTGAGAAATGCAGGCTGTTTACTACTGTTCCTGTTTACTATTAAAAGTGTACAGTCAAACTGGTGAAAAACAGTATGTGGCTGAAAGACAAGATCAGCTTAAAATTCTGATACTGAAAAAGCCATAAACAAACTTAACACCCTGGGTTGTTGAAATTGAAAACTCTTTAAAAACCTACTTTTAACTGTTCTGGTTGTTTTCTCTTTGCACAATATTCATTATAGGCCATGAAAATAAATGTGTTGATATTACATTTATTTATAGTCAGCTTCATTCTGGTTTTCTGAGCAGGTTGCTAAAATATTTGGGTTGGAAGCCCTGCAAAACAATGTTACTCCTTTAAAAATAATTCTCTGTTGCAATGTTCTAAAAGAAATTTCATGGAAGCACTTCTATTGATGTTAGAACAATTTAGGCACAAAATTTAGGTTTTGAGAAAGCAAGCTTCCATCACATTTCACAGTGCTCCCTTACAGCATTGAAAATCAGTATATGAAAGAGATTTTTAGAAAGTCCATTAAATTATTAAAGTGTTTCCTCTCTTGTTTGGACACTTCTAGTTTTGCTAAAGAATCAGGAGATATTTTTCATCAAGAAACAACATTTTATTTGCAACTATTTACACAACAAACATGCCTAAATAGTAATACTCTGATTCTGCAAACTCTTAACTTTACTA